GAAGGTCTATTATCATAATTTGCCCCTTTTCGCTAAGTTTTGTCCCACTAGGTTTTTCTTAGCATAGACTCAGAAGATTGTCATCATCAGGGGGAGCGAATTTTCAACGCAATCCCGAAGATTGCATTTTGTGGAAATCTAAAAGACAAAATGTATGTGGACATTACTTTGTATGTGGACTATTAATTTCATGTCCTTTTGTATTCCATCATGTATCTATAAATTGTGCGATGTATGGAAATGGAAGATGATGAATAAGAGATTACAATTTCTCTTCTTTTCTTGTCTCTTGTCTCTTGTTTTATTTCTTTAGTATATTACAACAATAGTTTTTTAATCAAAATTTCAAAAAAAAAAAACTAGCGATAATTATGCGTTTTGGATGCATTGTGTAAATATTAACTCTCTTGATTCAAATCATAAAATTGAACTAGGTACATAAATTGTCTTCTATTTGGACAGTTGGTCAAACTCATAATTTTGTTGAAATAGAATTCTTTCTAGTTTCTTGAACAAAGACCACTCTCAATGAGCTAGTGGTTTAGTCATTTTAGTGGTTGGATGTCCATTTATTTATAAATAAAAAGAAGAAGAAAATCAGTTGGATACCACGTACTAAATCACTAATGAAAAAGGTGAGTTTACTCAATAATGGAAATAATCATTATCCTTAAAAAATTTAATACCGGAAATATAGTTCAAAATTCAAATTCAATAATTGATTAGCTGTAAAAGCAGTTGGATGTACATATTTCACTAATATTCTTGCTTTTCCCCCCCTGATATTAGGCCCGTGATTCTTTGATATCCCGAACCAAGTCCTTGATATAATTGACATTTTCTATTTGATCTCAAGCTCTTAATTTATTTTAATAATAGCCACTCAAATCATTGAAACTATTAGTATGTCCCCTAATTTCTCAAAAAATTGTTTCAGATTGATCTCTCTCTAATTGCTACTTGCACTCTTCACTATAAAGGGACTAAGCCCAAAGTAAATTAGAATTTGAGGGGCCAAATAATAATTTTAGTGATTTGATGAATCTTCTCAAAATATGAAAGATATAATGACTATATCGGGACAAAAAACCTCAAAATTCTGCCTTGCACCATTAAGGGGGTGTTTGGTTAAATGAAGGTGACTATAATGTGTAAAAGTCTCACTTATTTTTGCAAGTGTGAAAGTGGATCTATGTCAACATGAAAGTGAAATACAATGTTTGTTTGTAAAAATGAATTAATCTTGGAACTAGGAAATAAAGATGATGTGACAATTATTTATTTATTTGTTATTTAAATTCATATTACACTCTAAACTCTAATAATTATTTTGGTAACAACTAAAGAACGAATTGAAAGCCTCAGGTATATATATCATCAATTACTTGTACTAATCTTTATAGATTCTTTGCATTCTGTTTTTTTTACTTATGTACTTTATATTTTTTTAATAACGTAATGGCTTATTAAATGCCTAGTCATGTTACATTTTAATAACGTAATGGCTTATTAAATGCCTAGTCATGTTACAACTGTACAACAATCACGCTAAAATGTGTAGTCATGTTCATAAATTGTCTAATTCGTACTATATACATGACATAACAATGTACATAGCTATTAAATGCTATAAAAGAAATAATATATTTAGCATGTAAGAAATTTTTGGGGGGAGGCGATTGTTTCCACTAAATAACATGGGAAAATAAGGTAAGATAAATAATAAATATACTAATTAATTAGGAGTGGTCCCCACTTTTTTCTCACTTTCACTTGACTTCAGCACTTTTTTAGGGGAACTTAAACATGCATTAGAGTTGATGTGGACTCATTTTAACATTTCACTTTCAAAATTACTTTCAATAAAACAAACACCAAAAGTCTTAAAATCATTTCACTTTCACACTTTTACAATTCACTTTCATAAAAACAAACACCCCCAAGTCAAAGTGAATTCTATTTCTCATGAACTTTTTATCCCTCATTCTTCCCACTTTCTAGGCTAAATAGCACTTATACACCCTGTCGTTTCATTTACTTTTCACTTATACACCTTCACTTGTATTAGGTAGTAAGAAAATACCTTAAATTTTTTTCCACTTGCACTTAGATATCCTTACTTGTTTTTGGTAGCACTTATATACCTTAAAATTTGTACTTAAATGCCCTAAATTTTTTAAATTTGACACTTAAAAACCCTAAAGTTTTTTAAACTTGCACTTAAAAATCCTAGAGTTTGCATGATTAAGGATATTTATGTGCAAGGTTTAAAAACTTTAGGTTATTTAAGTGCTGCTAAAAAAATAAGGGTATATAAGTGCAAATTAAAAAAAAAGTTAGGGTATGATTTTGCTACTAAATACAAGTATAAGGGTCCGTTCGTTTCGTAAAAAAATTTTGGGAGATCAAAGAATAGGAAACCTATTTCCTATAATAATTGTTTTGATGTTGTTTGGTTGGCTTAAAAAAGAAGAAAATTATAGAATAGGAGATGAGATGAGATGAGTTGTCACCTTATTATTGGACGATGTGAGTGATTTTTAAAAAAACTTGTTTTGAGCTTGTTTGGTTGGTTAAAAAAAATAAGGAAATAAATTGGAGGTATATTATTGGATGATGTTTTGAGGTTGTTTGTGTTTGGTTCATTTTTAAAAATAAGAAAATAGATGAGATGAGATGAGTTGGAGGTATATTATCGGATGATGTGACACATACTTAAGGAAATCAATTTCTTGTTTTTTTTAAGGAAATTGATGGAAAGGAAGGTTTAATGAGATGAGATGAGTTGTCACAATATTATTGAATGATGTGTATGATTTTTAAAAATGAGATAAGATGAGATGTGATGAGTTGGATGATGTGACACATTTCTTTGATTTTTAAAAATGAGATAAGATGAGATGTGATGAGTTGGATGATGTGACACATTTCTTGTGTTTGATTTATTTTTAAAGGTAAGAAAGGAGATGAAATGAGATGAGTTGGAGGACAAAAATAGTATTTTATTGGATGTTGTAGGTGAGTTTTGGGAATGGAAATGGATAAAAATATTATTTTATTGATTTTCTTGTACCGTTTCCTTTTCTTGTTTTTTAGGAAGATTAATGCTCCAAGGACCCAAAATATGGGACCAATGGGTGGGACATGTGATGTGTCCCTTCCCTATTGGATAATGAGTTGGCTATGTCAACTCATTATCCAATAGGAAAGGGACACATCACTAGTCCCACACCATGGTCCTATATTTTGGGTCCCCGTAGTAGCGCTCTTTTAGGAAACCAACCAAACAGCCCCTAAGGGGGGGGGGGAGGTTAGTCACCTAGAACTTTTTAAGTAGAACTAGGATAATTGGTAAAGTGTGATAATTTTTTAACACTTGGATAATTTAGTGGAACAATGATGGATAATTCTTGAAGTGAGATAATTTGGTAGGATAATTTGGTGGGATAATGGTGGATAATATTATGAAGGGGATAATTTGGTAGGATAATTTGGTGGGGGTAACGGTGGGTATAAATTATTATTGTTAATAATTGTATATTAAAAATAATATAAGATTGATAAGCAATTGATTAGTCTAGTGATAAGTATAAAATATAATGCAATAAAGCATCACTATTCATCTCAAATAATAAAATATTTACAACTAAATAAAAATCTAAATTCCTAGAGTGACTCGACTTCCATCATCCCACATGGCCTCTGCCATAGAATTTCTTCAAGCTCCCGCAGCTGCTCGTTGAGTCTGTTGAGTCTGTAACTCATCTTCTTCATCGGAATCATCATCTGCATCTGCATCAGCAACATTTCGTGGAGCTTCTAGTGGAAGATCATAAATGTCGAAGTCATCATTTGTATTCTCCAATCTTAAAAAGTTATGCAATCCTACGCATGCAACGAACATCTTTATTTATGTGGCATACAAAATCTTGTACATTGCCTGCAGGTTAAAAGAAGATGATTGCATCACATTGCCTGCATGTTAAAGGAAGGTGATTGTAGGTTAAAGGAAGGTGATTGCATCACTTGCTTGCAGGTTAAAGGAAGGTGATTGCATCACATTGCCTGCAGGTTAAAGGTGATCTCATCTTTGTCTATTAACATGACAACACGAAATTTCCATGAGTCCATTCATAGCATACGAACTTATCACGACACGCAATTGAATGAATAAGTTTGAAATTAAAATCCAAAGCACTGAAGTTACATACCTGATCTCGTGGATGGGAGGATCGGAGAGAAGATGCATAGAAATAATTCGAGAGGGAGGCGGCGCAGTTCCACTTTTTTCCCCAATTGTTTCTTTTCAATGTGTAGGAGGCGGCGCAGTTCCACTTTTTTCCCCAATTGTTTCTTTTCAATGTGTAGGATAATTTTTGAGAGGGGAATTTATGGCTATATATATAGATTTCCCCAATTGTTTCTTTTCAATGTGTAGGATAATTTTTGAGAGGGGAATTTATGGCTATATATATAGATAGTAAAATTAGTGGGATAATTATGATAAATTATCCCAATTCTAATTCAAGTAGAATTCTACTTGATTAACACACCAAAAAAATAATACAATTCTAGTTCTACAAAAGTTCTACTTGACTAACACTGTAAAAAAATATCCCATTTCCTAATTCTATGTGACTAACATCTTAAAAATTTATCCCACAGATTATCCCAGTTCCAGATTTAAGTTCTATGTGACTAACACCCCCTAAGTGAAAAAGTAACAAAAGTAGTCTCTACTTCTTTTACTTCAGCTACTTCACAATTACTTCCGTGCAAACAAACAGACCCTAGGTGAAAAAGTAGCTGAAACAATAGGATATAGATTAGTCACATCCAGGTGTGAGCACGAGAAAAAGAGAGGTAGCATAGCCAACTCAGCGAGGCGTCAGCCAGTAAAAAGAAGCGCGATCTCACTTTCCAACATGTGGGGCCCGGTAACGCCCTCCCAAAACCTGTGGCCAGAGCTGCGAGGGCCTGGAGACTCGGAGCGAGGAAGCATATTAATCATGCGATCATTAAACGCCGTTACGCACAGAGTGACGGGACCTCCGCAATGTCTAACGCGCCGTCGGTAACGGACTCGCCGGCGCCGGCGCCGGCATCGTCGCCCAAATCCTGACTTACCCTCTCCAAATCGTACGGTCCTTGCTCTACACTCATTCGATTTTTAATTTTATTATTATTTTTTGGTAACTTTCGCTCTTTTTTTTTGCAGGTGAACACGAGGCAGCAGACTGAGAGAAGAGCGAAGAGAGCAGCAGCCGGAGATGCTGACGTGGACGAGTCTTCTAGAAGGGGAACTGTATCTCAGATGATCCAGGTCGTCAAGAGCGAAGGATGGACTGGGCTCTACAGTGGCCTGAAGCCTTCTCTTGTTGGGACTGCTGCGTCTCAGGTTTGCAAGCGCCCACCAAGTGTTTGTCGAAATGTTTTAAGTGGAAAAAATAAGCTGAATAAGCTTTGTTGTTTTTGGCAGGGGATATATTATTTCTTCTATCAGGTGTTCAAGAATAGGGCAGAGGCGATTGCGCTGGCGAGGAAGAAGAAGGGGAAAGGGGATGGGACGGTCGGCATGTTGTCTTGGCTTCTTGTTGCTGCTATTGCTGGGTGTGTGTTGCGATTTTTTTTTTTTTTTGATTTTTTTTTGATAATTGATTGATGACATGTATTTTTTTGTTATTTGTGCAGGTCGATAAATGTGTTGATGACAAATCCGATTTGGGTCCTTGTGACCCGAATGCAGGTGTGTGATCTGACTCATGCATATGCTCGATAGCATATTCTGACATTTCAATTAGTTAGGCACAATAAGTAAAAGATATAGAACGGGGTAAAATGTTTATTCTTTTGAGGCTTGTTGTTGTAAGGAATTAGAAATTAAGAATATCAAGGAAAACTCCTGGCTCTGGCTGGTAGTATTTTTTGGCTCCTATTTTATGAATGGATTTTTGGAGTTGCATAACGAGAGATATTTTCATAGTTTTACACACATGCGCACACGTGCGCGCGCACACTCGCCATTCACATGTGATAATAGGAAGTTCAAGTCGAGAATCCATTGTTAAAATTGATCTACATTGTTTAGAATGCCTAAAAACCAAATATTAAGTGTCCCAAAGTTTTTTTCCGAATCGGTGATCAGGTGGCTCAGTTTAATGGTTTACAACATGAGAAATCTAACAAAAATTAGTGGAATGGTTTTAGGATGTTTAGATCATGATTAAATCGTTGGATAGAATTTGTCGTGGTAAAGGGTCTGCCAAAATATAGCCGTATTTTGACCAAATCTTGATTGTCTTTCTTTCTTCTTTCTGTTATCAAAATATCAAAGCTATTAAAAGATTCAGTGGCATATTTTCTTTAAAAATATTTTTTTTGCTTTTCTTTTTGTTTCAGACACATACTCAAGCAGAAAGGAAAATTATGGAGGCTAAGAGAGAAGCGATACTAAAGGAAGCATCTGGCAGCAATCCAATTGAAGTTTCAGCTGTTAGAGCTAAATTGGCTGAGCTTGATTCAGTCAAACCTCGCCCATATGGAACAATACTTGCGGTCTGTGTAGTTTATGTTCCTCTGTGACCTAATATTCTGGTATATGCTTGAATAGTTCTGCACAACATGTCGGCCTGCATTAATTTATATAATCCATGTAAGCATTATAGGTTGCACATGGAAATTTCTCCTTTTGCAAATCAAAGACAATACATGTGATTTGGTAAATCATGAAGTCACTGCCGTTGCATGAAAATTCCAAAGTTATGGAGGGTGGAATGGTATAATTCATATCCTGACACATCCTTTCTGGTTGACTGCCCTTTTTAAGGACTGCAACTTGAGTTTCTTGTACACTTCTTATTTTTGTTTACTTTTCCCGGGCCCAATGTGATTTTAACCAGTGTGATGTTTGTACCATCTAAAATCCCTGTCATTGCACCAAAACCCCAAATATGTGGCAAGGGGTTATGGCTATAAATTTTACATAAATTTTATATTCCCACGATGAATATGGAGATGCGCTGAAGCCAATGGCTTAGGTATGCTCAAGTTAATCTCTATGATTTTACATTCTATTATATTGGAGCAACATTGAAGACTGGAAACTACAACCTCCAAACAACACCATGTATGCTTATTTGATGAATGTGTTATAGGGTTATGCAAGAAGAAGGTGAAACTTGATGTTTCCTGCCTTGTCTTCTTTCAGAAATATCGGTGATTTCTCATAATATAGCTGATGGCGGAGCCATTGTTTTAAATATCCCTGACATGGCCTGATATATCCCCCGATGTATCCTTTTACAGGGCTTGCCGCAACCGATATGGTCTTTAAATATCCTTTACCGCTTTTTGGCTATTTTGAGTGATAAATCCCCGATATGGCCGATATATTAGCCGATATGTGGACCAATATATCTTTTTATATAGCTTGTTGTAAAATAATATACCGTGTTTGGAATTTTTGGGCGAGATATCAAGATTTCCCCATTATATCAAATGACATTTTGCTCTAAAAAAAGCAGATCGAATGTTGCAACATTGCTTTGCACTTTTGTTTGTTTTAGAAGGTTGATTAGTGATCCTAAACATATATTATTCATATTTTGTATGCTTAAATTTCATTACATATGTTGATATTACATTTTAATGCATTATACTATGTATGCAAACATTCATTATGGCATTCCAATATTTACCACATATCCCCGATATTTCCCCGATATCCGCAATCCGATATGAATTTTGGTCATCCGATATTTCCCCGATATCCGATATTTAAGACCTTGGGCAGAGCTTCTTTCTGCGCATTTGTTGGGGGGAGGGGGGCAGGTCTCGTGAAATTAACACTTAAATGTATGAAAGACCAATGCCATTTGGTGCTGTGATAATCTCGTAGTGCCAAAATCAGCTTGACTACTAGTTAACCTGCCAATCCTTTTGTGGTTCTATATCTTGATTCATCTCAATATGCATCTGAGTTTAGTGGAAAAGTTGGATCATTACTACTACTGCTACTATAGCAAATCAGATCCACTATCTAGCTAATAAGGCTTGGTTGCTCGACAGATGCAAGAGGTGTATCATGAAGCAGGCATAAGAGGATTATGGAAAGGAATAATTCCAACACTTATTATGGTCAGTTGTCCTTAGTATTGTTTTATTTAAATTCTCAGTTTTTGTATAAGTTTCTTGAGTCAGTTGAATTTTCTAAAATAGGTTGAAATGGCAGGTGTGTAATCCTTCAATCCAATTCATGATTTATGAAATGTCGTTGAAGCGCCTACAGGCTAAGCGTACTAGAAACAAGCATGGGGTAAAACCCGTTACTGCTCTTGAGGTAAGTCATCTTAAAATATTATACACTTGCTGTTACTAGTCATGTAAGTGACAAGGGGTTCCTAACTTATATTAATCCTATTTTGTTCTAGATTCACGCATTCACTCAAAGAAGTCAGAGGGAGAATTTGTTGCGCTTGTACTAATAAGTTTCCTTTGTCTTATCAACTCCTTAACTGCAGGTTTTCTTGCTTGGGGCATTGGCTAAACTGGGAGCAACTGTTGCAACATATCCTTTGCTAGTTGTTAAGGTAAATACAACCATTGGAATGGTTTACATATCTCTTGATTTTGAAAATGATATAGTGAATTATCTCTTGTTATTCTTTACACGTGTTTTACACTGCTGACTAAAGCATATTTGGCCTGTAATGTCACATCTATGTAATAAGAACTCTTATACTATGAGTGATTTACATTACATGTCTGCATTTGTTCAAATTTCTGTTGTTCATCTTCAAAGTTTCCAATATGTTTATCCTAGGGTTTGCATCACAATGCTTCTGGAAGAATTGTCTTGGAGTTATCACTGGTATTGTAACCAATGCTTTAGGCAATAACCGGATACTTATTACACTATCCTTTCTCATATTAGTTATTAGTGAAATGCATGACAAAACCATGTATTTATCTATTTTCTCCAAAGATACAACTATGAATTTACGTTAATGAAAAGAATCACAACATGAACAAAAAAGACCTTTATCCCCAAATTTTTTTGGGTTCGCCTATAGGAATCGTTTTTTTAATACATCAAGCTTTGTTAAGACCCATCTTATTAGTTAACCAATACATTGAGCTTCTTAATTGCCTCTATCCAAGTTCTCTCAGATCTACTTCTACCTATCCTTACTCCTTTAATCATAATTCCTCCTAAATGTTATACTTATTGGCATGCACTACATATCTCCAACCATCTAAATTGGTTCTCCCTCATTTTATCCTCAGTAGGATCAACCACAAATTTTCCTCAAATGTATTCATTTCTTATCCTATCTCTTAGTTATCTCCACTATAAATACCACACAAGCCATCACATATTAAAAAGGGGCTTAATTACCATACATTAGTGTGCTTTAGATTTGTGGAAATATCTTCTATTTAATGAATTTTGAGAAGGTAACATAATATTTTGCTGCACTTGTGCGAGTCTTGAAACAGTCTACTGCTAGATAAGTGTTAGATTCTTTTTCTAATTTAATGTGCATTCCTTAGTCCGAACTCTCTTAGAAAAAGATGGGATATATGCTATTTCCTTGATTATGCTTAACATTGCCTACTTGAATATGCCCCTATTGGAGTCGGCTGCACCTAAAGTTAATGGGTGTTCTCTAAACTGTTACTGGTTGTGAGAAAAAAAAAAACCAAATCAATATTCTCTTCTTTTGTTTTTCCTTTCAGCCATCTGACCTTAAAGAATTAGCTGAAGTAGATCTCATCCTACTGCATGCTCATATGTCTAGCTCTTTCTACTTAATGTGTCCTTTCATCTGATGCAGTCAAGGCTGCAAGCGAAGCAAGAGATTGGCAAGAATTCTGCATCAAGATATACAGGTAATCTATGCAGCAGTTAAAATATCAGCCAAAATGGCCTATTGTGTCCATTTTTTTGCTCCTGAACCTGATAGTGCCTGGCAACAGTTTTTCTCCTCTTTTTATATCCTTTTTTACTTTTTTTTATCCTCACGTTATTTGGAGGCCAAGTGATCTAATTAGCTCTTGATAATTAATATTCTAAACTTTCTTCACTGTAGGTACTATTGATGCAATTTTTAAGATGATTCGTCATGAAGGGTTGCCTGGATTTTATAAAGGGATGGGCACAAAAATTGTGCAGAGTGTTTTTGCTGCTTCAGTTCTTTTCATGATAAAGGAGGAGTTGGTTAAGGCATACCTGATACTTGCTGATGGTAGTAGGAATATCCTCATTCGTAAAAGTGATATCAAGCCATTGAGAAGAATTTAAGGTAGGCTCATGGCTGTTTTAGGCTTTTAGCAATGTTTTTATTAGATAGTACAGGAAATGGTATGCTATCATAGCTGCTTTTAGTTTTGCTCTAAATTTCTTCCTTGATGATACCTCACATCTTGTAACATTGTTATATATTATAGCATAGTAAGAATTAAAAGGTTGAATTGGCAAGCCATGATCATCAATCTTGTTTACCTTTCTTTTTTATGGTACTACATTGACTTAACAACTTGTTTTGATTTTTGTCTTTTATTGTTGGTTTGGCACTGAATTTGCGAACTTAGCTTTTTTGGGATGTTCTTGTAGTTTTTTTTTGGGTGTTATGTAATATTGATGGTAGAAGGTAATTTCATTTAATTATGTTTAGTTCTTACCAAATTAATATTATGGAGAAAGAATCAAAATCTTGGCAAAAAAGATCAAAGAAAGTTGAAAAAATGTTTCCCAAGCAACATTTCCATTTTGGAGAAATAAAATTAAACTTTGGTTCAGATGAAAACTATTTTATCTAAAATAACTAATTTTATTACAATTATTCTTTGGAAACATTCCTTCTAAGCTTTACAATTACAATAATTTATGCCAATTTAATATCCAAAACTGAAGTCTTAGGATTACGATAAGTAATTTAATATCCTAGAAGTTAGTTTTCTGAAGAAATCTATAGAAGCTAATTTTCTTATGAAATAATTTACTAAGGGCAACATACCAATCACAATCCAGTATGGCATCAAAAATTGTACCCTGATGCGGTTATATATGTAAAATACTCTTATAGAAAATCGAGTATAGCTATGTCCTCATTTCTTGAGCTTGGAATGACCTGTGTGGAACTTCATGTTTATGTTGCAAATCAGAGTAAGATAATCTTGTCTGAGTCTTGTGTTGTTGGTCAAGTTTAAGTTTAAGATATAAGTCATTTCTGAAAAAGGGTTAAGCAGGAGCCCAGATACAGGTTGAATGTTTGATGCAAACTAAATGTCAATCTGCCTCCAGAAACTGTACCAATCCAAGAAATACCGGATGTAGAGTGGAGGGCAGTGTTAATTGAGCAGATTTTTACACACCAAATTTCTTTGGCAGGATGGCAATTGAAACTCAATGCTAGTTGTATAACTGGTATGGTTAAGTAACACAGTATAATGAAATTTGTTCTATTTCTGTCTGTGTTTTTCCTCAGATTTAAAGAAAATAAAAACTATAAAGATGATAAATTGTTTTTAACAATGTAAAGTTTTTTATTTCAAGTACTTGTTTCTAATTTTTTTTCCTCTTATGTATGATGTGAAATTCTTGAATATATAGGAAAGTATAATAGGAGTGGCAAATCATTTGATTATATTAATACTCAAACATGCATGCATTCACGAGTATAGACAACCTCAAATACCAGGGATTCCAGGATTTGGGGTTAGTATCATTTTATCAACTCAGAGACGATTCAAAAAGTTGTAGGTAAGAATACCTAAATAATATGGGCAGCTTTTGTTCCTCGAGACAGTTCATTTTCTTTGCATTCTACTTAAATCACGGGTGTATGTTTCATAAATTTTGGCATAATTGTATCTTAACAAATAGTCACTGGAGAAACTCATTACAAAGAGCGTGATGTTTAGAAGTAAATGTGGAAGTTCCTGATTTTCCAGTTTCACATAGCGGATGTGGAGTATTGTAGGTTGTATGTAAAGGCGTTTGATGGTTTATCTTCATTTCTGAAAATGCTACTCTGTATGTTTATCTGTGGATTGCTAACTTGTTCGGGTGGAGGTTTTGATGGTTTCCAGGTTTCATTTAACCTTTTTGATATAAAGATAGATACCTCCAGGTATTTGATTCCTGATACTGTGTTCAAGATGGTTTGTTCCTAATGCATCAATTTCTTGTAGATTGAGAAAAGATAGTCGGACGGTATGGCTTGTATTCTTCATATTGTTAATCATTTGCTTGGTTTTTCTTTATATTGATTACGTGTTAGAAACTTTGTGTGCAAGACATCTTTCAGTTTGACTTCAGGCAGTTTTTTGTGCCATTTAGGTGGTAGTGTAGTAGTCTATGATAGTTTCTAAGTCCAGACATGAAGGGTAAGCATAAATTTGTTGTGTCTTTTCAATCCTTTGATTTTCATTCACATTTTCTTTCTAGCTAGATGCATATTAGTTAATCATTTTTTCCTTAGCGTAGTGCGTGGTCTAGCGATATTCCCCCTCTTTTCTATTCTCTAATAATACAAAAGATAACTTGATTACTAATATGTCAAGGAGTATTCACATGTTCGATGATGTAGAAACTTCATTTGAAAGTTTTTCTTAACTTGTATCACATAATGGGGTTGGGCCAAAAGTTTCATGGCTTTGGGCATGTGTCGCTACAGATTTAAAAGAACTACAAAAAATTTGCATCACATAGCTGGGTTACACCAAAAGTTTCATTGCTAATCCCTCATCTTTCGTCATAGTTATCACCGTGGACATTGTTCTTCCTTTGAGCGCCGGCTGAACTCCATGCGTGATAGATGTTGTCTACCGATCCTGCTATTTTAATGCCATTATTATGAAAGTTGTAGTTCTCTCTCTACTCATTCTAAGACTCTCAGCATGTTTTTGCCCTGTTGACAAGTGCAGTTCTCTCTGCAATCATCAAAGTTAGTTGCTACCAGGATAAATTGCGCGTAACCCCCCTCATGTATGCCTTCAGTAACACTTAGCCCTACTCAACTCATTTATAAGCACTTAGACCCCTGGGTTGTTACTTTTAGAAGGATAAATTACAGATAACACCCTCTCTCTCATGAAATTTTTTGAGGGTGGGGGGTGGGGGTGGGGGGCTATGTGCTAATAAATGAGTTGAGGGGGATTAAATGCCACCTATGATATAGATGAGGAGGTTATCTGCAATTTACCCTTTAAGTTTGATCATCTTTAATTCTTCTTTCATTTTGTAAAGCAGTAGCTTTTCTATAGTGCCTTTGTGTTCCTATAAAAACAAATCTGGAGGTTTTCTCAAGCAACATTCATATATAGTTGGAAATCTGTAGGACCACTAGTTAATCTAAGTATCCTCTAGAAATGTGAAAGAATAGACAATCTAAGTCGATGATCATGTTTCTTTATTTCGCTTACACTGTTTTGAGAACGGACTCATCAGAAATTGGAGAATAATATTGGGCTTCAGAATCTGGAAATGTAGGCTGGATCAAATGTTGAGGTTTGAGCTAAGATACATAAATAGTATAGGACTGTAACATGTATAAATTGCATATTTTTCGGTGCAGTTTGGAATGTTGATTAAGAATCAGCCATAATCATGGAACACATACCTGGATTGTCTGATTGTTTGACTTTCTCTAATCAATTTCTTTTACTGTTTTTAAGGGTGGCATCTTTGCATGGATACCCATTTCAGCAAATGGCTTCTCTTTGCCAACTTCGTTGTGTCTTTGTTCACCTTCCATTTTCCCAACAAACAATACTGATATTAGGAGCTTAATAAAAGTTTAATTGTGATTTAATAAAATTTAATTTCTTACCGTAGTTTCACACCTGCATAAATTCTCAGTGCAACTCCGAGAACGATTAAGTCCCATGTTTCTGATAAAGATATAAAGTAAGTTCATTGTTTTGATTTATACATTTTGAACTGTATGTCACAGAGAAAAAAATGTCCATCTTCTATGCATCTACTACAGTCATTAATTCACATGCAAGGGACTTTCCAGGAGAACTTACGTGTCATGTATGCGATTGATGTGTTGTTTTGGCCTAATGAAGTCTTTGTAAAGTTTGTTTCTTTCTCTATGTTTCCTGTCTGGGTTTGCTTCCTCATACAACAAGTCTTGGCTGTATGGCTCGACACTTGCATCTATTTGTGGAATTGATGATATTGAAAGCAGTTTAAGCTTAAGATCAGTATCTTCTGAAATATGAGTCGACTGCTCAGAGAGAAAAGACTTTGAACCACTTCGAGCCAAACTGACTCTTTGTCTCGTTCTATCAGGAAATATCTGTGCACTATTTTGCACTTTTGTGAAACTCAGATTACTTTCTGCAGCAGCAGATTCTTGGCTTGATCTTGGTTTCATCAGGAGTCCTCTGCCATTTGTATCAATTTGAGTGCCAGTGTTTCCTGTCGCAATGTCTTGCTGAGCTGGTTGATGGCTTATATTCAGGGTAACTGGGCATCCATGGGCTTCTTTCAGAGCAGTTTGTAAGGATTCAGGAATTTCTTCGGAATGCTTGAGCATCAGGTGAATTATAGCATTGTCTGTCAGCACAATGCCGAAACAAATTGAATAATTGGCAACCGCAAAAAAGGACTCTATCATTATAACGATCAAGAGGACATTACCTCGTGCAACAGTTAATGATAAAAGTTTTGCTTGAGACCGCAAAAAATTTCTCATGCTTTTGTTCTGCATCCTTTCCAGTATGTTGTTCCATATTTCATCCATATCAAAACTTTTGATTTCGGCATCAGGATTAGCAATGGTATTGTTCAGATTTTTTACAGTCGAGCAAATCTTGCTTCTTCCGTTGTTGTCTGGATGTCTGATATTGTTCATTATATCAGATTTTTCATCTACAACCAGAAGACAACAACTTTATGAATAATCCTGCTCTTATGCTACTAATGAACTAATCTTGGTCTATTTCTGTCATATAGTTTGATACCTGATGGAATATGATGGGAGATGCCATCAGATTCAATCTGCAGTATGGCAGCAGCGATCCTTGCAGTGTGGTTGCAGGCAAATGTCATCAGTTGCTTTTCAGTTTTGATCAGGATGTTTAGAGCCTGACATAATTTCTCGGGTGCCATGTTACCTGCAGTTCGATGCTGATTTAATGAACGAAAAAGACATAATATGTAACACACTGAGCAGAGAATGACCTTTAATAGACGAGGAATAACTATCAGCAAGGATTTCTGTAACAAGAGATGCCAATTGAGACACAATTTCCCGTGGTTCAATTCCTGAAGCAATCAGATCTCTTATGTATCTCACTGCATCTGTGGAGTTTCCTGAGATTTTCGTCTCAAGCAAGCGAACAAGTTTATTTCGTGGTACTAGACCCACCTGCCAACAAAAGAATTTACACTCAAGGAATTCTAGAAAAGAATACTATTAGAAAATACTGAAATAATTACTCACAAGCTGTTCAATGGTTGAAGTATCTATTTTCATATTGAGGAGTGCCAGATGATCCAGTAAGTTCTCAGCTTCCCTCAGGTTGCCCTCTGCTCTTCTTGCTATTAGTTTGAGCGCATCCTTTCTGATTTCAATTCCCTCCTGAGCGACAATCCTCGATAGCTTTGACATCACATCTGTATCACTGAGCTTTGAAAATTTGTATTTCTGACACCGTGATGAAACAGCTCTGGGGACAGTTCTTGCATCCTCAGTTAAGAGAATGAAGATCTTGTTGTTGTTCTCTTGAACTAAATTGAGTAGTTGTCCCCATGGCCAAGATTCTGAGGCGAACTTGATGTCAATGATGACAACCTTGACACCAGAAGATGTAGCTTTCCTTAGAAACTTGTGTATTTCTTCAAACCAAGAGCTTTTGTACCCAGAGCAGAGCTTTGCAGGAGAGGATTCACAGTTGAGAGCGGTGGCGAATATCCTAGCAGCTGATGTTTTGCCGGTCCCAGGAGACCCATAGAAGAGATACATCGGTGAGATTTTGTTCAAGCGTATGGCACTGGAGAGGGCTCTGATGACCATGTCATGGCCGATAATGTCCTCAAATATCTTTGGTTGGTATTGAATGCTGAACCCTTGATGACAATCAGCCCGATGGCTGGTTGAGGATGATGATGATGATCCAGGTTGATAGAGCAAAGTTGATTCTGCTTCATCTGGGTTGGACGACATAATCGGAGTTCAATTTCCTCATAATCCAACGAGGATGAATCTACGGACTCCATTAGACTAGGTAGAAGGGGTAAATGGTGGAAGACTGTTCTCAGAAGGTTAAAGTGTTGTCATCACAGGGTCATTGACTCATATTGCCGGCCTGCACGATCAGTCTTTTAAGGGTTATTAACAATGAGACGTCAGATGTGCGTATTTGAATAAGAAAGAGACATGCTCCAGCGAATAGAGTATCAGCTTTTGTTGTGCTGCTGGATGCCAATTTGTCTTGTATTCAAGAATCACAAGTGAAGGTCATCATCCTTTATATGGGGAGTAACTTGTAGTTATGAGGATATGTTTGGGTTCTTGTAGGTTCTAGTTTCGATATAGGACTTGTTTATTTATTTGTTCCTGAAGATATTAAATAATATTCAATCTGAGAGCAAAAAAAAAAGACAAAAAAACAAAAACAAAAAACAACAGTGGGTACGAATACCATATTGCTCTCTGAAGCACAATATTGGCATTCTTTCTATTGAAAGCTTTTTCATTTGGGGCATGTTTGGTTTGCTTAAATGGCCCATGGAAACCCATTTTTGGGCTTGACATCAAGTCCACCTAGGAATTTTTTGTTTCCGCTTGTTTCTTTTCATGAGTTTGGTTCGTTTAGGGATGTTGGGGAAAATGGAGCTGAAAACAGCTTCACCTCAGCTTTTTTCTTCTCTTCGGTTTCCATCCCCAACAAAGAAATTGAGTTGAAACCCAACCACGCCTTTGACAAGTTCTCTCTGGTTTCTCTCGTTGATTTTTTTGGGGAAGAAAGAAAACGCTAGGGTTACCTCCCTTGCCTCTCTCTCCCCGCTAGAAATCTCCCGTGGCCTTCTTCGTCGGCTTCTTCGTCACTGTTTTTTTGTTCGCCGTTTTTGTCTTTCGTCTTATTCGTCGGCTTCTTCGTCGCTGTTAATTGCTCGTGAGTTCCTAAACTTTAATACTTTTTTTAAATTTTTTTGATTTTATGGTTAGGGTGAGGATGAATTGTGTTGGATTAGAAGAGGAAGAAGGGGGTTATTGTGATCATTTGGAGTATAAATCACTTGCAGGATGAATTGCTTTTTTACCAGAAATTGCTTTTTTTGCTTAGGCTTATTCTTGAATTGGCTTGATTGAGGAAGAAAGGGGCTTATTCCTGAATTATTTTTTGGTTTGATGTTAAGATTTGAAATGCCAGTGTTACCTGAATTTTTGCTTCTTACAAATTTCTTGTTTACAACTTCCATAATAGCCACATAGTAGTGGATTGTTTCATTGTGCTTTACCTTTATGTTTGAAGTTATTGTTGTCTTCTCCATCTCATATTGTTGATAGTTTATCTTAAGTGAAGCATTTTCTAGTCTTATAGCTGGAACAGAGGGGTTACTTAACTAATTTTGACATTTAATGTCTCCTCTATTGCTTGTAATTTCTTGATGGCACATGACATTCTGTAATGGTCTCACGGAGATACACAATTGTTGATGTTGCTGCTACTATAGCTTCCCTTCAGTTACACTTATTTTCTTGTTTTTTATGTCAACATTAATCTCTATGTAATCTATAAAGTGAAGTGAATAAAATCTGATAAAAAGAAGCAGTTATCCATTTTTGGTGCTTTTCGACGCCCATAAGATGACTTCAGTGACAAAAATAGGCAATGTAGTATGGTGTATAACTAATATAATCATCAATAGTCCGGTGTTTGATATCAATTTATCAACATTTAGGCTAGCTAGTTCCATGTCCCTTCTTTTCCCTTATTAATATTACTTTTATTATTTTTAGTAATGAGATGCTTATTAGTGTGTCCATTATAATACTCAAGTTAATAGGGAGAAATATCTGGTGATGTGCAACAAAGGATTTTCTTTTAATTGATATTGTATGTGTAAAGACATGAAATATTGAAAGTTAAAGTTATGTCCAGATTCTCAGTAACAAAGCAATGAATTGCAGAGATCATTAAAGAATGACCAAATACATGAGTTACCTTCATGATGCAGATCATTAAAGAATGACAATCTGATATGTAGGTTGCACTATATTAATTGGGAACAAGGCTTGAAAGTTAAAGTTATGTCCAGATTCTCAGCACTTAGTGTGCACACCTCTTTTTGAATTTTATTTAATAGTTGGCTACATGGTACCCCATGAGACCACATAGTTGATTTTCATGTAACTGCATGCTTTTTCCCCTGAACTTTTGCCTCTTAAAATTTTCTTCTTTACTGCCTAATGCTTCCTGGGATTTTAATTGATAGAAGTTTTGATTATTGACATTGCATATGGATGCTTGCTAGGTATATTAATTATTTCAATTTGATGTTTGCATTGTAAATGGATGGTGATGGAGATTGTATTGATGAACAAAGTGTTGTTAATATGGTTCAAGGTGTTGCACTATATGTTTTTGTTATAATATTTACATTCATAAGGAGAATGCAAGTTAGACGTAAATCAATTTGTAGTGGTCCAAGTGAGGAAAAAACAAGAGAGGACTAGATTTGAACATATAGAGCGCATTTATAATGGTTTTAGTGATAGCTGTGTAAACTACATTAGAATGCGAAATCATGATTTTGTTAAGCTAGAAAGTATAATGCGGAACAATAGGCTGTTAAAAGACTCAAGGAATGTAACAGTGGAAGAACAACTTGTCATGACACTAAACATTTCATGTCATAAATCTAAAAATCGTATTGTGAGATCCATTTTATAAGATCAGGGGAGTTAGTCAGTAGATATTTCAACAAGATATTACAAGCAATTATTTGGGTGCGTGGAAGCTAAATGAGACAAGCCCCCAATGACATTCCCCAAGAGATCGTTAACAACCCATTATATTACCCTTATTTCAAGGTACATCTACACTTTAAGCACACTTACATGTATAATCAATGAAAATAAATGTTATTAAGTAATTCGATGGCTACTGCTGTGAGTTATTAAGGTATACGATGGCTACTTCTGTGGGTTATTAATGTATGCAAGCAACCTACAATACATTGTATTGGATGACTATTGCTATGGGTTATTAAGGTATTCAGTTGTCATGCCACGAGTTTACATTGGTGACTTTTTTACTTTTAGGCTATGATGATTATCAAATTTTTTGAGATTAGCAACTTGTAATATCTATTGATATTGCACTGAATGGATAACAATGATGATATTGATCAAGTTTTGAGCCCTCAGCCATAATTCGCATATACATGTAGCTAGTTTATTTTATGTGATGTCAAAAAATATTTTCAAATAATTTTTTAATCATAAAGTTCATTCAAATTTGAACATACATAAATTATTAAAGTAGTACACAATAATAACAAAGTAGTACATGTCCAGGCTTTCATTCTAGCGATTTTAAATAGATTTCTAGATCACGATGCTCTCCAATACATTCCTTACTTGGCAACAACTTCATTGTAACCAACTTCATGGGCGTGTATTAGGAGTTGATTTTTGTTGCAAAAAATGTTGGGTATATCTTTGCAGTAAGGACACTTCCAATTTTCGTTTCGGTCTATTACTTTTACAACATTAGTTCTTAGCATAATTTCTGCTAATTCTATAATATCCCACATTTTATCTTGCTAATCCATTCTTCAAAGGTTTGTTTATGTTCAGTAATCCTTCCACACAGATAAAAAAATATAGTAAATTGACATTAAAATAAACAACTCCATTGTATATCATAAAATTTTTAAATATTCTTATCTTTGATGATGGTGTAGATGAAGATTCACCAATATCTTTACTTTTCTTACTCATATTTTTTTCTGGTTAGAATTTGGTATGCAAACATTGCGTTTTATAGATGTATATGGACTGATACGTTTACTTGGTGGTTGGATGTTGAATCTGATAATATTTATTTGGATCAATAAATTTTTTACTGGTATTGCCCATGGTTTTGAAATCGAACTGGTTTTGTTTCTTATAGTTAACTCAACTACTCAGTCTTCATTACGTATATGTTTGGTATTTCCAGTTTTGATATGATTTTCCATGTCATATATATCACTAGTAAAAAACTGGGCATTGGCGACAGGGAAATCCGTCACCAATGCCCCAAAATCCGTCACCAATACACATTGGTGATGGAAATGGATCCGTTGCCGATAAATCCGTCGCCAATAAGTATTGGCGACGGATTCCCCCCGTCGCCAATACTTATTGGTGACAGACGTTTATTGGAGATGGAATTCTTTAGCGACGGGGGTCTTTCCGTCGACAATACTCATTGCGACGGGGCACTCCGTCGCCAATACTCATGGCGACGGGGCAATCCGTCACCAATGTTTTAAACATGCGCGACAATTGCCCCATTGCAAATGAGTAGTTGGCGACGAGATTCGTCGCCAATGTTTTAAACATTGGCGACGAGCTGCCCCGTCCCCAATGTACATATTTACGTATTTTTTTTTAATTTTCTAGTAACCTCCCATACGAGAATACACATATCGCCTGTATCGACATCAATCCAATGATAATATTTAACAATATATCATAAAATCAACCATTATATACATTCACATTCCAAATGAATACTCATCCATCAATCCACAATATCGAACAATACTCATCATATAATCACAATCACAACACATCTCGCATGCTCAAACAATATTCATTCGCTATTGTTTTCGTCAAAAGTTGATTTTGTTATGGAATTCATTATATCTTCGGTCGATTATAACAAATTCGAAAGAAATAGCCTTTTTATAAGACTTCTTTTACACAACAAAAGAAAAATTATAACTTTTTAGAAACAAACGCAGGATCGTTGTTTGGATCACTGCTTGCGTGGGATCTTTGCCTGTGCCGGGGGTGCGTTAGCCCGTGGACCACCGAATCACAGATTCTGATTGAACCGTGAGGGGTTTAGTGATTCTTCCTTCATTTATCGAAGTAAGAATTTGAAACGAAGATCTTATCAAAGTAAGACGATCGTTCTTCTTAAGATCAAGTCAAAGCTCGAATCT